GAGGTTTGTGAATGAGCCACAAAGACCCACAGAAAAACAAAGGATGGAAGTTTAAACCACAGCGTTAACAAGTGAGCTTCCACTTTAGGGCTGTCCCATGAGAAGCTGGTCAATATTGGCATCATCAGACCGGGTGGATGTTATTCATCTTTGGCTACCATGACAGAAACTGTAACCACATGACAACCAAGTGAGTAGCTGGGTCAACCCTACAGGATTTCCGAAAAGACCATCCCACCGACACAACATGAAGAGCTCCGGTGAAGCACAGGAAGTAGCTTCACATGAGAAGGATGAGGAGGACAGGCAGCCTCTGAAGGCTTCTCACTGCCTTACGCGATACATAAGCCCTGTAATAGAGCAAAGCCAGACAATGAGCATTATCTGGGCTCGTGGGAACACAAACAGAGGTTGAGGATCCACCCAACGGTGCAAGATGGTCATAATAACTGTGTCTGAGTTGAGATAATTTAATGGGAGGCAGTGAAACACTACTAGAGAACACTTTAAACATCCACTTTTGCTTTTATGAGGCCTTCTATTCGGAAATTAAACAGAACTGCCAGCTGCAAAGTGGGATGCCACTGAGATTTATTGTGGGTGACCAGCAGGAGGTCCAGGGGTATGAAGTTATACCCTCAAGAAATGTCCTCCACATATAAAAATTAGAACTTGTCTTAATAGGAATATAATGAAGGGGTGGCATGGTGTTTAGCACTATTGCCTCACACCTGTAGGACCCAAGTTAAAGTCTCCACCTGGGTTACATGTGAGGGGTGTTTGTATGTTCTCCCCATGTTGTCATGGGGTTTTCTCCGGGTACTCTGGTTTCCCCCCAAAGACATGCTGAGGCTAATTGGAGTTACTGAATTGCCCATAGGTGTGTGTGTGTGTGCCCTGTGATGGGCTGGCCCCCCATCCTGGGTTGTTCCCTACCTCGTGCCCATAGTTCTGGGATGGGCTCCAGACCCCCTGTGACCCAGAAGAATAAGTGGTTTGGGAAATGGATGGAACATAATGATAACCTTGGTAATATTATCTATAAAATATGACTACATGAATATGAACTCCCCAGAACAAAAGGTATTCCTGGATGGGTTCTCCATTTCCACATAGATTACCAGACATTTCCACTTTTTGTACTGGAACCCATTTGCAGGATATCTAATTTTGCAGGCTCCTTGACAGGTATGATGTGTCAATATCCACTGAGTGAATCAGGATTTCTTTACACACAAATCATCCATATAACCCAGAAGATAAAGTGTCCAAAGGTCTCTGCTAGGGGATACTCCTGTGTTTGGGATTGTCCCTCCAACAATCAGCCTTCTCTGATCTGCAGATTCCCTCATTCACAACCAGAGTGTTACATACCGCTGGGATTTATGGACGAGAGCAGCAGGCGGATGGTTAAGCCTCCTGTAACTCTCGTGTATCTGCACAACTTTCGGGCTCCATATTTCCTTCACCCCCGCAGAGTCTGAAGAGCCAGGCTTAAGCCCCGCATGAAAAATACCAGCGTTAGCAGGAAGAGAGGCATTGCAGAGGAATATTTATTAGGACAGCTGTCAGCGGCCATAAAGTGAAGCTTAGCAGCTCGGGCTTCTGAGCAGAAGCAGCCTGTCGATCCGCTTATAACAGCCTAAAGTGGAGGGCTCGTCAGCTTCGGAGACACCTGCTCAGTGGGGTGCTGTCAAGCAGTTTGACGTGTGTCCTGTGATCCGCAATACAAACCCCCTCCACACAGGACAACGGTGGGAGCAGAGTGCCGCGTTCCTGCAAAGCAAGCCGGCCACACAGGCAGGCAGAAAAACAGAAGGACAGAAAGTAAAAACACCCACTCATTATCAGCAAGAAGCCTCCAGAAGCCATGTAATCATGTTTTCCATAGTGTACTGGGAAGCTGCTCTCCGTTGCTGTTGCCAAACAATGACCATACCACCAAGGAACGGTGGACCCAGAAAAAAATTACGATGTCAGTACAGACCACCACGGCTCCTGTTGTTCAGGGAAGACTTGAGACAGCAGTTCACACCAGTCAGGCACATACGGGTCAGACTTTGAGGCTCCACCCAACACTGCCACACAAGATGGCACATCCAATCCATCCTGAAATCCCACCCGGACTGCTCGACATGACAATTTTCCAGGTGTTAAGGTACTCTTTATGACTGTTTTTGGAAACAAACTGGATAATGACTTTTCTAAGTTCTTGATAACTGCAGAGCTAAACAAACTCTAATGCCTATTTCCGTTGTTGTACTGACCTGAGAAGACACCGGCCCCCTGTGTTTGGCATCATTACTTCCCCTAACCCTCCCTTAGATGAGCACTCACAGAAATGAAGGTAAGCAGTTGTGAAACCACAAGCAGCAGCAGGTGACAGATGGCGCACGTTATTCCACTGACCTACGAAACGCTTCGAGAGGAACAGGCCCGCGTGGGTGTGATATCCCCCCCACAGCTTGCAGTTCGTCCTTGACCAGTGGTGCTACTGCTCAATCCGTCCTCTGTGCCAGGGCAGCGACAGTAGCGGGCACTCAGGGTGTCACTGGAGCGAAGGCGGGCGAACAGTAGCGTCAGTGACACCATTTGTGCCTTGACATTCATACCAGGGCTGGGTCATACAGGGGGAGATGTTGGCCCTATGTCAAGCTGCTGTGAAAGGTAAAGGGACCAGCTGACAGCCTCCTGATGAAACATGCAATGCGGCTACTCTGCTAATGCTAACCATAACCAAAAGCAGGAATGGCTGGTATTTGCCTGAAATCCCACACCCGTGGATAACTGGGATGCCAAAAACCAGAGAGGAAAATTCGTTCTTCCATATCACCCTTCTCATTCAGCAGTATGGCCAGGCCTCCAGCAGATATAGATGTAGGGGTGAGCAGGACCACATGGACCATTTGCTGAAGAATAAATGTCTAGGAGAGAGATCCCAAGCCTCATTTTTGGGTTCACTGGTCTGCTGGGCTTCTGGAGTACAGCCTGCCTGACACAAACACCACCTTAACCACGAGAGCAGTTAATGAGACCCAACAAGGTACATAACATTCAGCAGAGTCGCTCCAAATGGGGCCAGGCCAGTTCCCACAGACCAGTGACTGCACATAATTCTGTCCTTCGGCACCAGGATATTCAATAAACAGAACGATAACCATCACTGTGTGTAATTGTTAACAGCTAAAGGCATGTTATGCTTAACAGCACACCCAGCACGGGCACACAGCGAGTGCTGCAAGGAACCCTGCTTATTCTTAGGCCACAGGGGACCAACACTGACTTGAAGGGGAAATGTTTCCTTCTCTTGTTTTCCAACAGGATTATCAGATTTATAGAGCAACCCCACAAGTGGAGTAGCTTGTATCTGCACCTGGTGTACTGGTTCCTGGTGGTCTAACCCTAGCTGGATACAGATGGCGCAGAACTGTGGTCTGTGGATTGTCAGGGCTGACTGAACCACCCCATGAACCTGTACATGGGCTGGTCTAGCTGTTTCCCATCGCCTGCCAGTTGATAATGCATGCCTGTGACAGTCAAAGGTGAAGGAGAAGCAGAGACCACCCCCCTCCTTCACCTAGTGGGAAAATCACAAGGGTTCAATGGTCAGTGACAAGCTCGGATACCAGTAGGATGTTTCTTGGTGCATAGCGCCCCTTATAGATCACAGGAATTACAGTTAATATTAGAATCATGCTGGACCTTCTAATGGTACATATCACCTGCGCTGGACCAGCTCTCGCTGGCATCTCTCAGATCCCGCTGATCCCTCAAGGAGCCAATGGTCCTGGTCTTTGTAGTATCCTCCTCCCCCTCAAGTCTTCCTGAAAAACATCTCCACCCAGGCGACATCTACTTCTCCATGAGGCCCAGTCCTAAGCCAAACCACAGGACCCAGCCAAAAGAGGAGCTTTTGTTCTTTTTGTTCTGAGCACAAGCTGGCAACGGAGGAGACCGGAGCTGTGCTCAGGAAAGTGTGGTTCTTTACTACACTGATTCTGTCATCAAGTTCTGCAGCAACTGGCAGAACAACAGAAGTGAACAGAGGAAGGAAACCAGCATAGGAGCCATTGATTAGGCAGAAAGGAGGTCCCAAGGAGCCAGAGGACATTACAGGGGCTAGTGATGCGCATTGTGAGCAAAGCTGTAGCCACAGCATTACCAACATGACTAAACCAGGGCTTCCTGGCACAGACAGACAGGCATATGGCGCTGCCAATTATCTCTGTGCCATGCTAGCGTTAAAATAAACACAAAACCTGGAGGAATTTTCAGGCAGAAAACTCTGTAGGCCTTTTCTCATCAGGGCTGAACCCGCTGAGGAAGTCTCGATGTGTACGCAAAACCCCATCCACCCGAATCCCTCTCAATGCCGCACCATGGGCTTAAAGCACCCATGAGCTGAAGGCAGAGGAGGTAAACATACAGGGTTTAAATAAAGATTGCTCTAGTGTAAGATGTGTGCAGCTCAAGGCCTCAGGGTGGAGTGCCAGATCTTCATGATTAAATCAGAAGTCCTTCATGGGATTGGGGTAACTTTCCCAACTGCCCCTTAGGAATAGCCCCTCAGCCTCGACATGCCCTCGATCATGAAGTGCCCTAATTAATAGAGTATTTGTCAGGAGCAAAGAGAGGCACGCGGACCAGCTGATCTTCACCCGCATTAATTATTAATCCACAGTGATGCACTGACCAGGGCTCTGTGCCGTTTTTGATTATCTTTGGAAAAAAAGGTCATCCTGGTGGGGCCTCTTCTTCGAGCAGCCCATTCATTCCATCATCACTCTCCCCGACAGTGTCTGACTTTTGCAACCTGACCACGAGCCCAACCGTCCCCGAGTGTCTAGCCTATCAGCTCAGATTTGGCTTGGGGGCTAGGCCCTCTGGAGGGTGCTGGGCAGGGACCTGTGCTATAGTGCAAACCAAAGACGACTTACACCGTAGGCAGAGAAGAGGCCAAAGAGCCGAAGCAAAAATTAAAATACACAAGTGCATCTGAGTGTTTTTAAGGATATTCATATATTTATTATTTCTCCAAAAATATATCAATCATGACTCCATGATGACACTGGCTAGTGGGGAAACCATAAGGTAGCCTGGAGTAAAAGCCTCATGCTACCCACTCTCTGAAGATCATCACATGGCATTACCTCCTGTGAGAACAATCATCTCTCCGGCATTCAAAGAGAGGGCATCACTTTCAAACACTGACCCCTGTCTACTGCACACCAAAGTTCATGCGCATCCGTGGCAAGATCAGGCTTCCTGAGGCTACCTGGGACTCTTCTCCTCTTCTTCCTTCAGCCTCTTCCTCAGGTGCTCGCCAATGGCATACAGTGGGTTCGCTCTGAAGGCGGGATTCTGCAGCATCTCGCTGAACCTGGAGCTTTCTGTTTCCCTGGAAAAAGAAAGATCACTGGTGTGAGCAACATGTCTATAGGAACAGGTGCAAATGTCCTCGAACTTCATGGGGGGGGCTCTGGACATCACATCAAACAACTAAAGAAAATGTTACTCCTGGTTTTATTGGTGAACATGAGCCAGAATGCTGTGCAGCAGACCAGGCCAGATTGAGTACTTACAGAAGCTTCCGCTTTTGTACTGGCTTCATCTGTCTGTAATCGGTTGGTTCGGGCTTCTTTTTCACAGGCCTGGGATGGGGGGAGAGGCATGAGTCACATGAACCATGTAGGAAGACAGGACAAGCATCCAGGCAGCAGAAGACCACTGCGGGCGCCAGTCCCGCTGCAGGAAAGCTTGCCTGGCACATGGCGAACAGCGGTAGGTAGGAGCCAGCCAGCACATGTGTGGAAGAGATTCGGAAATGGAAACACCAACGATGGCCAAGTGACCTCAATGTGACCCTGGTGTCTTTCCACCATCCACCAATGCTGCCGCTGCTGCCCAAGGTGGGATCGGTGGCCCGGAGATTAAAACGTATCCGTGATGGACAACTGTGAGCTCTCAATGGAGGACCAATTACGCTCCAAATGCATGTGGACGTGTCTGACACATGGGGCTGGCTAGCTCCTCTAACCAGACATTCTTGCCATGACGGGAGTCAGATGGTGGATGGTTGCTGAGCACCAACTGCTCCACACACGGTTATTAAATATCCCATGGGGAGTCTGTGTGAGGAGGGCCGGCAGCCATAACGGAGACAAGGACAGCGGGTGGCGGGAGCCCAGAAAGGAAGCCAGCAGTGCCGATTATGCTACGGTGGAGGAAAACACAACAGAAGCACGGAAGGATGGACTTTCTAGGGTAACATGGGACCAAATTCAAATTAGCTGCAATCCAGTCATCAGGGAAGGAGAGCCACATCATAAAGTACATTGTAGGGAGGTGCGCACTGTTTGAGCTATATCACTCATTTCTGGAGCTGTATAACGTAAGCAAGATGGGGGAGGTCGGCCATATAGAAGAGAGCTGCAGAAACTCCATGGGTCATTTCCAGTTGGAAGTGAGTGCATCACCCCAGAAGGGCGGTTTATCTGTTGTGCAGCAGGAGTGAGTAAAACACAGGACAGCATCTCTGCAGCTCGAGGAGGAAGGTCCTCAGCAGGAAGCCCTCAGCAGGAAGCCTGCAAGGTTGCAGTCTTCACAGGACTGCTCAGAAAAACCCTGAGTTTTTGTTCTCTGCATCACCTATAAAGGCATTGTCACAGATGCCTGGTAATATGATCACCTTAACCCAAAAGGACCCACAAGCTGCAGTCCCCTGTGACCACCCAACCACCCCACACCAGACCAGACATTCAGCACATGGCATTTCACTCTTTACTGGGGGAACAGAACAAATGGATGTAGGACATAATTAAACTCAGGAACAGGCCAAGGGACAGCCACCTGCCCAGTGCTTTTAAAATTGATCCAGTGATTACATTTTTGCCATGAAAAATTCAAGTGGTCCCATTAACAAGCTGCCACTGGCTTTGGGGGTGCATTTTAACCAGAGGGGAGTCAAGATCATGATCTGAGGGTGTGGCTGCATTTTCCAAGCCTCCTCACAGCCAAGCCCTTAAGTAAGTATTCCAAAATTAAGTCACCCTAATTGAACTGACTGAATGAACAGCATAACAGAAATCACACTCTTCACCCTTCATGGTAAATCAAATAAGGTAAGATGAGCAATAATTACCTCAGAATGATTACAATCAATACTTAAATCAATAAATGATCCCCAATTATTTAGAAAGGGGTTAGGATTAGGCCTAAGTCTGGGCAATACAGACGATATGTACAGTTACTGCCAATGGTGCCAACCCTGGGATTTGAACCAATGACCTTCCAATCGCAGACACAGAGTGTCCTAACCTGCTAAGGCACACACCACTCAGTAAAAGATAACTAAGAAATCAATGGGGGAAAAGCCCCTGTATATATGGCAAGGCTCCCAGGGGGAGGACTTGATTGAGACCATCACAGAGGCGGGCTGTTAGACAGATACCAAAAGACAGAAAAATAAAGGAAGAAATCAAGAAAGCGAACAATAGAAAAAAAAGCAATAACCGAATGTAAGACATAAGAGACAAAACAAAACACAAAACAAAAAAACTAAAAACTAACCCAGAAGCAGGAAGTAAGCCAAGGAGCAGGCAAACAGAAAGTACTCACATGCTGGCCTTCCTGCAGGGGAGGCGCTGGCTGGTGGAGACCAGCTGGGAGAGCTCAGGCAGGGCGTCAGCAAGCAGCTGCATGTCCCCCACTACAGGCGTGGCCCTCCGCCGCGTCAGCGCCACCTGCTGCTCCTTTGCTAGTTTAATGGCACTAATTTCTGCAGGATAGGGGTGAGGGCTTATCTAGTGAGCACTTTTCCATGGAATACGACTGTACAAGCTGGCTTGTGTATAATAATATAACACGTTACATTAAAATAAGTGCAGGTCAATCCATGCAGAGACTATTTTCCATTTACAGCTGGATATTTATTGATTTTTTAAAAGAAATTAAAATTGGCTCAGTATTCACTGACAACACTTTAGTCCAAGTTCTGTGAACCTCTGCATGTGCATGATCCATGGATCCAAAGTAAGCGCTCAATGTGGCCACGAGAGCAATGCTAACCCTGACGGCCTGCAGATAGCATGGCTATGTGCCACAGCCTGTCCACGAGGGGGCGCTGCAGTACTTACTGCTAAGCCATCGCTCCCGCCTCTCCTTAGTCCTCTGCTTCTTGGACTGCAGCTTCTTCTCTGATGGGCCTGCAGCGAGACGTCAGTGTGTGTCAGTCAGAACAGCCCGCGATATGGTGGGGGACATAAGGGGCACTGGACAGGGAGCTTCATTTTGGGTGGGGTGGTCCAGAAAATGACCAGACAGAGGAAGGATTACGATATCATCACGCCACCAGTGCAGCAATGGACAGATGGAATCCTACACCCAGCATGCCCCACCCTGCGCTGCCACCCCAACATAGTGACCTCTAACAGGCATGGTGATGAAAGGCAGATGCTAACTTAGCACAATAGCCACTGCTATTGTGCTATTTATATACTTAACAGTTTATATTTACTATATATTTACAGTTTAACCCCTATTCAGCCCTAACCTTAACCATAAGTAAAGCATTTCGTTTTTTGATTGCATTCACGGATCTTTGTGGGGACCTGAAAAATGGTGAAAATACCCCTAATAACTGGTTTTTACTACATTGTGGGGAACATTTGGTCCCCTCAATGTAATACACATAATACACACACACACACAAACACAAACACCAACACACAGTCCATGTGTTCATATCTTTATGGGGACTCTCCCTTCAGTGGGCTGGCGACCTGCCCAGAGTGTACCCCGCCTCTCGCCCAAAATTGCTGGGATTGGCTCAAGCTTCCCCGCCACCCAGATGGATTAAGCGGTATAGATAATGGATGGATGGATGGACTCTCCATTCATTTGTATGGACATAACCCTAATGCTAACTATGACAACCCTATCCCTAACCATAAGTAACTAAATACAAGACTTGGCATTTTTAGTTTTACAAGACTTTTGGTGATTTTAGTTTTTTGATTGCATTCACAGATTTTTATAAAATTGAGGTTAATCTCGTGGGGACCGAAAAAATGTCCCCACAAGGTTAAAAATTACAGGTTTTTATCACATTGTGGGGAGATCTGGTCCCCGCAATATAATAATTACAAACACACACGTGCACACACAAGCCAGGTGTCACTTTGCTTTCCATGCCAACATCCTATTATGGCCTGTGTTCCAATCCCAAAAGCCCCAAAACAAACACAAACAAACACGTGCAAATAAGTTAAAGCCCCCCCCACACAAATGGCTGGGTTTGGGTCCAGCAGGTGGACTACATCTGCGCACCACCCAACACCACCACATTTCACTTTCTAATGGGCCGGACTGAGTTCGCCATAAATCAACCACAAAAATTTCTTGAAGCTTCATAAGTGAATTCATTACACAAATGGACTCGCATCTAATCTAATTCATAGCTAATTACGCAGAGGTCATGCATGTGCAGATGGCAGACACCGACAGATTCCTGACACTAATTAAAAGTACAGGAAACGGGAGAGAGGGAGCAGTAGCGTCAAAATGCAGTGCAAAGAGGTGGAGAAAGGAAAGAGAAGTGTTCTCCATGGAGGGGGAGCGTGGCCTATCGATGGGGCCCACCTCTGCCACTATGAGAGGACGCCCCCATGTTGGTGCTGATGAGCAGAATGCACCAAGGGACGCTCCATAGAGCTACAGTGACCGAAGCACTGCTTCACCACCCATCTCTGAGATAATCAGGAGAACTTCCGGGATCAGCAGGGAACACCATTCTTCCTTATCCTTCCACCCATCAGTGATCCTCCCACGGTCCCAGACCTGCTTCAGGGGACATCTGCATACCACCACAGAGCTCCGTGGAGACAGGACACCACAGGACGGAGGAATTAGGTGGCTCCAGTGAGATACAGAGGACGCTGTGATTGTCTCCCTGAACCTTCCTCTGCCCCCCTTCAGGACCAGCCCAACTCATTTACTCCACAGACAGAGCATCGGTCAGAAGGTAACATGATGTTATAGCTGACTGAACATCGGTAGTCAGAAGTAACATGATGTTATAGCTGACAGCGCATCGGTAGTCAGAGGTAATGTGTTGGTATAGTTGACAGAGTAACGGTAATCAAAGTAATGCAATATTATACCTGACAGATTATCATAGTCAGAGGCAATGCAATGTTACAGCTAACAGAGCCCTTTTAACAACAAGAGAAATTGCAAGTCAGCAGCTGTCAGGAGCTAAGTTGAGCTTCATCATTTATGATATGGAGGTGTGGGGAGGGGGAGACTGAAGCTCCACCAGGAGAAGCTGAACCACATGCTCAATGGCTTTGCCAGGCATTTACTCATCACCACGGTATGGAGTGCGTCGGCACCCTAAACACCAAATAGCAGAAGCCTCAGCAATGACTCAGCTCCGCAGCACTCTGCCACTAAGGTCACCACTCAGGCCTTTAGAGGGCGCTCTTCCCCGAAGCTCAGCTGTGACTGAAATCAGAACATTTCTACTGAGTAAGGAATCCACCAGTTAGCAGAGGAAATACTTAAAAGCCCTCAGAGCAGGGGTCGGCAACCTTTTTGACATGGAGTGCCAATTATATATTTTCTTGTTAGTCCGCGTGCCATGTTAACGACGGGGGTGCTACCATCGAGTAGTCAAACCAAAGCAGCAGGCGCGCCAAGCAACAGCCAATGACATTTCAACATCATAGAAGACGTCTGAAAATTTTTTATGTGTTTAATAATTAGGGTTATGATCTAGAGACCTGCGCGGGACAAATTTTTCAGTCCCGCTCCTGCCCACTCCCGCAAAAAAATATATATTATTTTCTCCAGCTCCCACCCGCAGTATTCAAGTTTTGTCCCGCTCCCGCCCGCAAAATCCCGCATGTAAACATATAAGTAGTTTTATTTTTACCACTTCTGCCCACTACTCTGTTATTTGTTTCACTTGCTTCCCTTTTGAGTATATATAAAAAAGAAACGGAAAATAAACAAATATGATTTGTTTTATTTGAGTTTAATTAAATGGAATGATGAACATGGACATGAACGAGGAGCTTTTCAGAACATAGAAATACACTCAGAACAGTTAGAAATAGGCTAATAATATTGCAATGAAACAAAATAATAATAAACGTTGATTTCTCAAGTGGTCAAACAGAAAAGCATTTGGCCTAATACTGCTTCAGAGCGTTAGTCTTTAATTTAGTCGTTCTTGTTGCTTTTGTGTAGTAGATAAATAATAGAGTACTTGTTTTTAATAAATTAATTTTAAGATAATTCCATTTTGCGGGAGTCCCGTGATTAATTCTATTCTCCCGCAACCCGCACATACATGAGGACCTTACCGCCCGCACCCGCATTCACCCATCAAATCTTGTCCCGCGCTGCACTCGGTGCATTGGGTCCCGCGGTACTCCCGTGGGAGTGCAGGTCTCTATTGTGATCATCATCAGCGTGCCACCCGAAATTCCTCCACGTGCCAGTTGTGGCACGCGTGCCTAGGGTTGCCGACCCCTACCTCAGAGGGTCCCCTTTGTCCTGGTTGTTGGTACAATTTCAAATCATCATGCAAATACAAATTACACACTACAGAATGATGGAAGGTGGACAGAAACTCAGGCAATACTTAAAAGCAACAGCTAACTTAAACAGGGGGCAAGACACAAATGAATACCTCCCAAAATCAGCTGACGAGATGTGCTCCAAGTGTGCACGTGGGTAAATAAGTCATGTGGTAAAACAGAGACATCACTGAAATGAGAAGTCTTGCTGCTTGACCACTTCCAGGGGCCCAAGATGGAAGGGGTGTTTTTGGGTTATTTTAGTCCCAGATCGTGCTCGGTCAGGAGTATATAGGAAAACGGCATGCCGCTAAACTGTAATCACATGTGAACACATCAGAGACAAGGCAGCAGCAGTGCAGGCTTGGCAGTGTGGTCCCCATTTTGGGGGGAGGGGGGGTCACATATGTGCCATAACGATGTGTTTCAGACGGGGGGATGCCAAGTCATGGCCAAGCCAGCCAACGAGGCCCACTTAAAACCCATGTGCACCCTTTGACAGAACACCCCCAGTTACACCCCCCACCCTCCCTGCCTCCCGTGCCAGAAACACCCCCTAACCGATTTAACGAGCTGGCACCCAGGCAGGAATGTGACCTTCTCACTTCTTGTACGACGCCAACCCACCTTTCAGTTCCCTACTTATTCTGATTGGCTGCTCGCAGAGCGCATACCCCATGCCTATTTGATGCCCTCGTGAAGTGACCATGCCAGTCATCTCAATGTCAGTTGTGCACCAGCCAGGTAGATCAGCCAAGGTCACGCTAAGAACCAAGCAGGTGAACCAGATATGTGAAATTCCAGGCTTAAGGAGGAAAGGGGCGGGACTCTTTGAAAATGGGAGGGGCATGTCAGAAGTTGTCAGCGTAACCAAAGCCAGCAAAACAACGGGGTAAAAAAAAAAAAAAAGGGGGGGGGGACGGGTACGTCAGCTTGTGAGTTGTGTGCTTAAAAATACACATCCACGAACTTCAGAGAGCCCCAATCACCTACTGAGTCCGTGGGTAGGGGATGGGGGCCGCAGCTGCCGCCGCCCCCACCATCCATGATGTACCGTGCGGGAAGCAGATAGAGCCAGAATGTCTCAGAGCATGACTGTCTGACCCGATTCCCCCTTATCTCATGTGGCGCCACACCAATACCCACACAGACAGACATGCACCACATAACATTTTCCTAAGTTTCCTAAGTTATCTGAAAATGCAGCCTCACAAAAAACATGGTCGCCCACCAGCAAGCCACAGTGTAACCTTGATCTAGATCTAAGCCCGGTGGTCCCCCTTCCAACCCTGTTCTGGGCAGAATTGACCCACAGCAGGTTTCAAGCTAAATGACGTCCAACAAGGCCGACTTCGGCGCTCACCTCCAAGAGAGAAGCCGCTGTTATTCCCACACCGGGCAGCCACAGTGACGTTTCATAGGCCAGTTATCATCATGCTCAGAAAAAAAATAAACATGATTCCGGAAATGAAGCAGGGAAGCATGGAAGAAAGCAAATGTCAGAGGCTGACATCCACAGGTTCAGATAGCACCGCCTGACAGCAACCATGAGTGTACCACTATTCCAGTACCCCAGGAAGGCAACATCATTGCTTTGAAAAGAGAGAATAAAGGACAAAGGT